TTAATCTCCCGATTCATATTCGGCCATACATATCGGTCACTTACCAGTTTAACTGTTGCTTGGATGCCAGGGTGAGAAATGCCATGTATTTTGGAAAAAACTGATCTTCGCATTTCTAGTGAGACAAAAGGGCGCGGTTTACCTTTGGAAACATCACACGTAATAGTTAGGCCTTCATCAAGCATAACATCTTGCAAACGTAAGGAAGTACTCGTGCTATTTTTTATTCTTTTCAGATCCTCGTCCATAGTTTGCAGTCTAGCCATATTTTTAAGATCAAACTGGTTTTTTTCTAAGGTATTTATATGGATGCGGGATAACGCATCTGCTACCTCGTTTTTATGTCCTTTTATGAATCTAATATGTATATAAGTCGGTAGGTGAATGTTAGTCAATCACTATACATATCAGAGCTCTTTCATATTTAACTTTACTACAACCATTTTACAGAAAATGAATCGTGTTAAGTCAATATCAATCAAGTATCACGATTATACCATGACTTTGGATAGCGAGCAACAACTCATACCGTTGTCAAAGTGGCATAATCTACTTGTTCTGGCAATATATGATCCCCTTCTGTCTCTTTATGATGCCATAACTAACAGTTTTAATTTATACCTGGTAAAATACTACTCACCTGTTTCAACCACCCAAAGTAAATGACAAGTGCCTTGCTCAGCTTATTTTGCAACCAAGCAAAACCTCGAATAAAACTTCTGACAGAATAGGTCATGACACCGAGAGGAGTTCCCCAAATTACCCGGTAATTTTTACTCTTAATGTGTTAAACTACTAAATTCCAGCATGTCAATCCGCAAATGAGTCAATATAATGGAAGGCTTAAATAATTAAAAGTCATCCTTTCATTCTGATTGGTCAGTACTATCTTCAGACATTCTTTACGTTCATCATCCTGATGAGAAATACTTGCACAATTTATTTACAGGCATTTGGAGAGAAACAGGTGTGCTCAAACTAAAGCCTTATGTACACTTCTGGCAAAAAAAGTTATCTTTTTTTGCACATTGCTAATATAATATATAATGCTGATAAACACGACAGATCACGTTCTACAAACACCAAGTCGGAATTCCTATAAGAGTGTTCAAAACCTCTTTAGCTTCTCGTTCGAATTCTTTATGGACAAACTAGAGCCACAACTCAAGGGAGGACCTGCTGTCCATATTATTTGTACAGTAATCAATTTGTTTTCATACTCAAACTTATAAGGAATAGATATGTACTCCTTTCGTCAGAAAATGTTCAGTTGCTTTAAGCAGCCTAATCTAACAATTGATTACCCCTATAGATGAGTGGGATGACCTTCACGTACACTTCTAACTACTATGCTCCAAAAATAATAATCAGCACCACGTATCAGAATGCAGTGAAATAATTTCTTGTGAAGTGAACTGAGAAATGAACTCGGTGTCGGAGTTCTCTTGGCGAGTACTTGTCGTGCTTTGCATTCATGGCCTTGGTTAGTGGTTTGTGTAGATGGTAAACGGTATTCCTTCTACCATATGACGAAAATGTTTAACAGCAAGATAGACTGCTAGTAATTCTCTACTGAATGCACTATATCTTGATTGAGTGGCGTCTAGACGTTTGGAGAAAAAGGAGAGAGGTTGCCATTTCCCAGCAGAAAATTGTTGAAGAACTGCACCGACGGCGACGTCTGATGCATCTGTCATAATCGCTATAGGAGCGTCACGACGTACTAGTAAAGTTTCTGAGCTTAGAGTTTGTTTCAGCTTTTCAAATGCCTCGATTGCTGAAGTACTCATGTGCAGCGATTTTGCATGACCTTTTAGTAGATCTGTCAGGGGTTGGGCCAGCTGTGCACAGTGAGGAATGAAACGGCGATAAAAATTGACGAGACCAAGAAATCTGTGTAACTTTTTGAAGGAATCTGGAATCGGGTATTCTTTTATGACTTGTAGCTGTTCTGCTATTGGTCGAATGCCTTGATTGTCTACCTGATGTCCCAAACATTTTATAGTTTTCTTACCGAATTCACATTTACTTGGTTTAATGACAATTCCATATTCGGCTAAACGTTTAAAGAGTGTTTCTAAGTGATGTTGGTGCTCCTCAGGGGATTTACTTGCAACCAGTATATCATCGATATAAGCGTAAGTGAATGGGAGGCCGTGTAATACCTGGTCAATGAATCTCTGAAATGTTTGAGCTGCGTTAGTCAAGCCAAATGGTAGGCGGACGAGCTCGAATAAGCCAAAAGGAGTGGTTACCGCCGTTTTGGGGATGTCCTTGGGCTCGACCGGTATATGGTAGTATGCACGAACGAGGTCAATTTTGGAAAATATCTGGGCACCTGCCATGTTATGGAAAAAATCGTGGATGTGCGGAATTGGGTATCTATCTGCTATCGTCTGCTTATTTAAAGCTCGGTAATCTCCACATGGTCGTATCTCTGTTGAGCTTTTCTTTGGTACCATATGCAGTGGTGATGACCATGGGCTGTTTGACGGTCGTATTATTCCTAGATCCAATAATCTGTTGAACTCTGCTTTTGCTATTTGCATTTTGGCTGGATCTAAACAACGTGGTTTTGCTGAGACCGGTGGACCTTTAGTTACAATATGGTGTGTAACGTTGCGTTTGAGAGAGGCTGTGGAGTAATCGCTCTGTGTCAGTTCAGGAAATTTCTTTAGCAAAATATCGTACCTGGATAATTGATTTACCAAATTGGTATATGGAGATGCTGGTGTGCGTGTGACCATCAAGTTCAGTGATGATGCATGGCTAATCGTACCAGCAATATACGTTTTATTGAGCGAATCTATTAGCTTGGGGCTTATCGGATCAACTAGCAGTTTGCGTTGCTGTAGAAAATCGATACCAAGGATTGGGGATGGGACGTCTGCGATGATGAACGACCAAGTGTAAGTATTCTGCAGACCAAAATCCAAAGTACAATTATACAATGAAAGTATAGTACGATGATGAGTAATAAAATGGGTCACTACAGACCTTCAAATCTGTCGTGGTATCGGAACTGACACTATACCATAGTATTGCTGTAAATATGACGGTCCTTGTTTTCCTACACTACTGCTCAAAATCTTTCCAGTAACCTTGGAAATTCAAACCTATTTGTTTTTCCCCTCACCATATCATGTAAACAGAACATCATATTCAATATTTTTAATCATGCAAGGATTTGTATACCGCATCGACAATACTGTGTGAAACAAGCCCACGGCAATTTCCACTTGTATTATTATTACCTTAGCTGTTATCATTATTATTATTATTTCCATTTAAATGCTGCATGTTTTCTATTTTTCTTTATATTAACCCTATTGTAAATGTAGAAAAATTTTCTGTGTGATTAATTTTATTTATAATTTGAGGAAATTAGATGTAATATTGTGATTAATGCTGAAAATTCCATTCTGTATCACAAGTACTGTTTTTGGAATAAAGTAAATTATTATTATTACTATTATTAAAACGACATTTATTACACTCAGGCACAAGTGCGGCTTGGAAACAAAAGTCAACAGCTACAGGTCAACCGATATCACACCAATACCATCTAGAATTATGGAAAGACTAACTTATACAGTTGCAAGGAATTGCATACAAACACTATTCAAGAGGGCCAGCCAGGACTCATTGCAGCACTCCTCCCTTAAGGAAAATTGTAGAAAGATATCTCATGGACGTCTTCCAAAAGAATGGATGTCCACGGAACTCCACATCAAAATATATATACCCCCAAGCCAACCTATCAAACCAAAAGCCCCCAAGGAAAGCACAAAGAAAATCGCCCTACCATATATAAAGGATCTCTCAGAAATAACTACAAGACTCCTCAAACCTTTAGGAATTGACGTCACACACAAACCGACAAAATCACTTCACTCAGTTCTATGTCAACCAAAACACTCAACAATGAAAGAAGTTAAAAGCAACATCATCTACAAAATAAACTGCAACAACTGCGAAGAACACTACATTGGTCAAAGTGGACGTCCCCATTCGTCTTCGTATCCACGAACATAAGCTAGCCGTCAAAAGACATGATGACATCCACTCCCTCATATCACTACATACAGACAACCACGGACATCCATGCGACTGGGACAACCAAAGTTCAAATATTAGACAGAGAAAACAACAAGAATGCTAGAGAATTTTTAGAAGCTTGGCATTCCAGTGAATCATCAATCAAGCAAATTAACTATCCCGCTCAAAGAACACAACCACATCAAAATCATCCACCTGAGCTACAAATCTTCTGCATCATATCTAAGTCAGAACCTCGGTTAACTATACTAGCACACCATCGAGCTTCCATCCAGGAAACAACAGAGAAATCACTATTTCAGATTATGTAAAGTCCAGGCATAAATTCTCCGAAGACGAACTCCTAAACCTCGCTTGACGAGAAGTCTAGCTCTAGAAATACGTGAAGTCCGGCGAGGGACTGGCAACCCCACCCATAAAAAGGCACTACTCGTACTATAACTGGTGAAAGGATCAACTCCATTCACAGTAGTAACAGTCTTAATACACCTCATACTACAAACGACATATAATTAATCCCAGCATTACTCCTTTTGGAGTCAACCAAAGCTACGACAGTCGGGTGGCGGGACGAGCTACGCAGAAGTTTACCGAAAATCAGGAACCTATACCTCACAATCAAGAGGCGAGTACAAAGAAATCAAATTGGTTTATACTAGCTCGTAAAAACGATATTGGATATTGGATCAGGACTCAAGCTTAAAGCTCTATTCTCCCATTGGAACGCAAAGGAATTTTAACATTAACGGGAAGTGCTCACACTCTGAATAGAATGTGGCTAGTGATACCTCTCTACCCAAACCTCAGTTGGGGGAAACGGGATCTAAATCTGTTACCCAGTCATTGGTAGTTGAGCGACCACATCAACGAGCCACACAATGAATCATTTGAAGATTTCACCAATAGAACAGACTTTGTCTTTATGAGAAAATTAAGTACTCATAGGTATATGTATATATTTTTAAAAAGTTCACTAATAGACTACTGATTTCTTTTCATAATGAAATGCATCATGAAAACATTGATTACAGCAGAAACACAGAGATCAAATACAAAAAAAGAGAAAGTACAGGTAATAATGAAATCAAGTTCTGGTTTTCAGTATTCGTTCACCTGACACCAACATCCCAAATGTCACAGATTTTCACCATGAATAAATTTATTGATGAGATGAAAAGCAGCAGCAGGTTTATCTCCAGGCACCATATGTCCTGCTCCACGAACTGTAGCATACATTAGAATTGAACCATGACCTTCAAACATTTTGTAAAATCCACCAACCTGTTTTGTGCCATCACTCTCCGTGTATAACCAAAATCGACGTGATAAAGTAGGCTGTAATTTAAAGTAAAAGACGAGAGGCAGGGGGGGGGGTGGATTTACCAAACAAATATTCCGTTAAGTAGATAACAATCAATTAGTTAGTGGTAGTGGTTCAGGATCGTATCCCAACTGATGCATACCTATACATCGCCTAACCGATAATAAATCCGCGGAAAAGAGATTGGGTGCGTGAGGCTAGTAACTCCACCCCGTAAGAGCAAACAACACCCTCCCTGTTGAAACTTCAAAGCTCAACCTGCAAGGCCCTAATCCCAACAGGGATACAAAGGAACGCAAAAAGAAGGTTAACGTGAAGACGTATTGATTGATACACCTTGATTAAGAAACATGACAACATTTTAAGTCGGCTGAAGTTAAACAATAGCGACCAACGGCAGTCATGGCATAAATGACACTGAAGCGGATAATCAGAATAAGTGTCTGAAGATGACATTTTTCAAACTGCTGTAAAGGCAACTCCCAACTACTGTTCACCACAGTGTATCGGTGCTCATCTTACTGAATCAACTTTTAGTGTCAGAGAAGTTGCAGTTGAGTGTTAGCCCTAAGGGGTATTTGGCACTTCTTCCACATTAAATCCACTCCTTGTTATTCTGAATAGGATTTCTTAACGAAACTTAACTCATTTTTTCTGTGTTACAACTGCTATTCAGAGGAAAGATGTTTTGGCTGCTTCATAGTTATTCTACTTCCTTATTCATCTTGTATTGTTTAGTATGCGGGTAATATCTACACGTGATTGAAGGTAGTTGAGAAGACTGTTTAAATGTCCAAACAGTTTTTGCTTTGAGTCCTGTTTGAAGTCACTTGAATCCATGATGAATACAGTCACACTTATTGTGGGGGAATTGATGACTCAACTACTACTCAGTTTTCTCAATACTCCCACCCTTCAGACTAATGTAAGGGGTGGGGGACCTACAAAACCCTGGGATCCACCAGCTGAGCATTGACTGATCGAACCAATGAAATCTGATGTCTCATCACTCGGACATGAAGACATTCTCACCATTCTCACAATACACATATTCAGGGCTACTTATCTTGTTCTTATTCATTATGACAGAATCTGATATCTCCTGTGTATGTATATCAGTGATTGATGTGAATGAACAGTAGAATATGAAAAAAAATATCTATGAGAGATTCTCCCTTCTCACTCCCATAACAACCTCTTCGTCACGCCTTCCTCTTTTCAGTCTTTGTGGGTTATAACAACCACCAGTCCAACTACTACTAATACGTCATTCATTACATCTCGATTAGCATTTCGATGAGTTACTAACTTAACAATAAATGAAACCATGTGTTCTTCTACTGAAAAGGTTCTATAAGTAGTATATTGTGCGCATCATGTCTTCTATAAGAATATTTTATAGTGGGGCAACAAATAAAGTCGAGAATAAGAAAAATAGAAGATTCCTGTCGCAAAATGCATAAGAAAGCACGAAAGGAGGATAAAAGAACAAGCACAAAACGAAGAACATATGCAAATAAGGATTTCAATATAATCTCTACAAAATTTCACCATAACTTGTGGTTAAGGAGGACGTCAGTCGGAAATAGAACCTGGACCATATGCTTGGCTGGCTATCGTCCTACAATTGAACCATTAGAGCTTTTTGATCAAAGGTTCCTGCGTTCTATTTCCCGTGTGTGTGGCATAACAGAGTGAACAATATTCAAGCTAGGTGACGAGTGGTAGGTAAGGAGGGGAAATCAGTCGACAAGGCTGTGAATTTACATGGATTGAGATTGTTAGGACATGTGTTGCGCATGTCTACGCGTCGCCTTCCTGGACAGGCGATGACAGCTAACTTGTGATCACGTTGGAAAAGAGCCAGCTAGTGGTGGTCGAACTAAAACACAGCATCAGACAATGAAATCCATAACACTTAGTTTAATCCAGCCACATCGAGAGATGTATTTCGGTGTCTGGTTGGGGTCCTCGAGTTGGTAAGAACCAATGAAAGCTGGAGATAATTGGTGATATGGCTCAAAATCATTGTCAATGGCTGGCACAAATGCATTCACTCTTTGTGATTCATCGTATGCAGTAAAACTCTATTGTTCTTCTATATTACTATTCTTTTCACCTCACATTTCCGTTTATTATCTCTCACTTGAACCACTCTTTACTGTCTTCTGTTGATTTGTGAGCTACATGGAGGGTGAGTAGCAAGTCGAACTGCTGCACACTTATGCGAAATTCTACGTTAAAGCCAGTCAGTCACCATAACTTGAGATCATTTTGTCAAATAAGCAATCCGTTACTAGGTGCTACCATATTCCACTGTCACACTACTACCACCACTAATGACAATAATAATAATAATAATCAATATTATAATTCTCTCACCTTTAATTTCAAATTATCTACAAACATTTCATCACCGAAATAATTACAAGCCATATCAATATCACCATTGTAAATCAGTGTAGAGATCTAAAAGACAATAAAAAGAAGAAGAAGAAGGAGGACGACGAAATGATGAAACATTAACTACGCTTAAAATACAATTTGATTCTATCTGTGAGAAAATAACATGTTAGAAAACAGACAATACACACACACACATGAACGCACGCACAGACAGAAAAGATTCCACAGAAAATGAAAACAATGGCGTATCATACTGACTTATCTCCGAAAGTATTTTTAACAGTCTGTCAGAGAGTCTCATCAGCACCTGCCTTCTCTTGCTTCCTTACTGAACATCAGATGGCTTCCTAGTCAGAAATAATTATCGACAAGGGATTTCTTTGACAGAGGACAGCCTGTTGTGCAACAAATAAGCAAAAGGAAATGGCGACGGGCTGAATATTCGTTGGAGGAGGTCTTCAAAGTAGCATCACAAGCCAGTCAGACCACTAGAGTGGGCCCAAGGGTAACATGGAGATGACATGGTGAGGCTTATAGACATTCATGGAGTCAGTTGAAAATGGTATCAGAGAACTGATCACAATGGAGATATAAGTGGCTGAAGCCGTATTATTCAACTTGGAACTTCAGGAAGAGAAGCTTACAGCTTGAAGTCCAGTGTGCTTCCTCAAAGCAGACTTTTTCTAACAAATCAAGGGAAAAAAATAAACTACTTGACCATTACTTAACTACTGTATAAACCAAACACATTCGGGATTATGCATAAAATCGGGAAAACAGAATTAGTTTAAGATACAAGACAATAGTAGTGGATCATGATTATATCAATAGTAAAATATGTGCGTGCATGTATGTACATATGTGTGGTTCCCCCGTAACTGTGGAGCCAGGTAAACATTGGTCGTTCGACGCGTATCCTGTCGAAAAAAGGGTTGAAGATCACTAGTTAGCCCATATGATTACAGAAAGGTAGTAGTAGTAGTGGCTCTAATAAGGAGTGCAGTAACACACAACATCAACAACAACACTCCTCCTTTAAAGTAATGTATAAAATGAAGAACAACCGTCTATCAAAGACAATATATGCCTTCATCCCCACTCTCGGAATTTCTGAAGCTCCTCTAGCCATTCATCAGATAGAGAAATTAATCTTCTGCATATGAAGCAAAATTATTCAACCACTTCTACTATCACACTCTGGTAACAGCCTCGTTGTTTCCTGCTAACCTGATTTCTCTTTGTCTATTTGTTTGTCTGTTTTATAACTGTTTGTAACTCTGGTATTTCTTTAGAACTCTTACACATAATTCTATATTTCCCTTCGTTTCTATGTGCCATCCTGGTTACAACTCATTCACTGAAATTGTGCAACTTATTATGTAACTCCAGTGTACTTAATCAACTCCTCTTATACATCGACTCATATTAACAACTATGGTTATGACAACTCATCACTTTCTGTTACTGCCTTCATTTGTGAAGAATAATTGTATATAAATGCCAGGGTGTCATGGAGAGCTATTTTGTCGCCCCCGAGTTTGCCACTCTTCGGCAGTACGCACCCAAAGGGTCTCGAACCCAGAACTTCCTAGTTGCAAAGCAAGCTCTTGGATCATTCAGTCACCGGAATTGTACAGCTAAGGAGTAAAATTAATTCGACGAAAAGAGCATGTTTTCGTACTGAACTATTTGTTTTGCTGTACTCATTATTATTGCCAGAATGGGGATTATTCATGAATTTTTAAAAAATCCACCTCAATTCAATTCGTGAGGTGTCTAGTTTAATTGTCATCAAAAGCACTTTCATCAACAAGTTCTGTTAGGCACATAAACTATCACACGTGGGTTAGAGTAAACAATACGGGATTATGGAGGTGGAAATATAAAACGGTTTAAATTAAAACAAGGTTTAAAAATGAAAGCAGAACATTAAGGCTAAGCATATACTGAAAGTGCAGTTTAATATTATGTGATGTATGGAACTGTTATAGACAAAATATAACACAGTATGAACACAATACAAACGAGACCTCATTTTACGGAAGGTCAGCTATGAAGAATAACAAGTGACGATTCAACAACTTACCAATAAATGACACCTTGAAAAATCAATGCGAAAAATCGCATAATACATAAATAACATTACTGACTACTACAAAAAACAACAACATACTTAAGACGGATATAAGAATATTAATTAATATAAGCAGGGTGACGACCTTTGAGATGCTGCACAATGTGGGTTTTACTGAATGGAAACTAAATCGGATGCAAATCCACCAAGATGCCCTGATTTGTTTCAAGTTTGACAATGAATGAGTATCAGTTAGAGAACCACTGTAGATAACTATGGAGTACTGGACACCTGTTTTGTCCTAGTTCGGGACTCACCGGCAGCATGCACCCACCTCCACTGCAGAGTTCGAACACGGGACCTTCCACTAAACAAGGAAGGCTCGAAGACCATTCAGTGTCAATAGCCAGCCCATGAATTCTAACTTCTACTAATTCGTGATTGTAGCGCGACCGGTGAGAGCCAATGTCATCGGCGAGAATTTGTCCTCACTCCAGACAAATCAAATCCCTACAAAAACTAACTCTTGGAAATTGATCTGATGCTCGCTGGTTAATGGCTTTAGGATAAAGTTGCCTAGAATTCTAGTGAAAGGTGGTGACTAGTGGGGTCTACTTGGTCGGGAGTGAAGACAAATACTTACAGACGACATTAATTTTAGCCGGTTGCACTAAAACCGAGAATTGGTAGAAGTTAGAATTCATAGGCTGGCTAATGGGTCGGGTCCCACAGTGGTTGAATATTTTACGAGTATGCCTTTCAACCTAAAGGTCCTGGGCTCCACCCTGACAGTGGGTGTTTACTGCCAGTGAGTTATAAATTAGGAAAAAAGAGCTATCCAGTACTCTCTAGTTACCATCCATAATTCTCGAACTGATATCAATCCTTGACCAAACTGGAAACGAATACTAATCCCTCAACCCTTACCTAACTTAAAACTCACACAGCTCAGGATGAAATTTCACAAAATAGTTTTCTTTGAAAGCCAAGATTATTCACAGCAATCAAGAAAGTAGGCATCGTTGCTACATAGTGCTATAAACTACTCATTGATTGAAATAAGTAGTTGAACATCACTCTCACATCTAACGGTAGTGTTCGCTAGCCAGCAAAATCGAAGTAATCTAAACATCAGACAGCCGCTTCACTCATTTTATCACAGAGTTCATCATCAGTGGTACGCCGATTTTGACTAAACTAAGACAGACAGCCAAATCAATACAAACTATCCGAGTTCCGACTAACCACTAACTAATTCGGTGAACTGTTGAATTCACTGAATCAAATTCATACTCAGCAATTTACACACACTTCCGCGTGGAATTTCACCACAGTTACTTTTGAAAACCAAAATCTTAACCACAGTCTAGCAGCAAGACTTCACCTTAACTCTAAGAGTACTACCCCAAAACTTAAGTCTTAATTATCAACCCTAAAATCTAATCTCTTCAGCTAACACTAATTGCACGCACATGACCTAAACCAAAAAAAAATTATCCTAATTCGAACTACAAACTAAAAGACTAAGATGGAACTGAAGAGTAGATAATGAATAGAATTAGGGCTAAATAAGAAACGGTCTGACCAGTTTTTTTCAAGATCACTCGACAGGTTGTTGATATCAGCTGCACATCCTACATTGTTACTAAGGCGTGAATTTAAACTACTTATTGGCAGTAAGTAGTATAAAGGTAAACACACACATAAAGGCAAAGGTGTCAAAAGGACAAATTAAGAAAAGAATTAACAATCAAGTCACTTGGGTTGATTGTGACAAGCAGTGGACTGGAGGATGTGCATTTCATCCCAACTGAAACTCCTCAGATGCATATACTTCCAACCTACAGTGAGTGATGGTGTTTTCTTAGTCACATCCAAACCCATCACAGATCGTTTCGAATGCCAATGAATTATCATTCAGTGGAGATTGCAGATATATCCAACTGACGAGTCCCAAATAGGACGAAGCACAAGTCGTGTTGTATTCCACTGATAGCCTAAAACAGCCATCATCAAGTAACATCGTGGTTATCTCCAGATATTGTAGTCGCGTCCATGCTGGGAGTTGAAATGTTAAAAGATACCAAGCAATTCGATCCCAGAAAAAAAACTAATCAACGGGGAATACAATAAGATAATAACACAACTGAACGACTTACACCGGATTGAAGTAGTTTCATATACTGTTCAGATAAATCTTTATAAGTACGAATGTAATTAACATTGACTTCATCACTGCATATATCCCATTCCTTTGGCACATCTGGTTTTACATTGATAAGTCGACGAACAACAGGTGAGTTTAAATAACTACGTATCAGTGTATCATCTACACACGGTATTGTTAAACGTGTAGTTAGATTACGACGTAGTGCAGAACTGAAAAAACAAAGCAGAAAAAAAAATTAAATCACATCGAAGCCAACTACTTGACCCAACAAAAACCAAGTGCATAATTCATTAGGAAAATATTCTTTAAGCCAATAATTATTGTGGATTGAGATGATCGCCTACTAGCGCGTCGGTGGCACAGTGGTTAAGACTCTCGCCGACCATGCAAGTGGTCCGGGGTTCGACCCCCTGCCGACGCACACCCAATATCTATGGTCGGCCTGTAAATTTTGGCTACCAATATCCATGCTGAAAATTCCATACTTGTACCGAAAATATGGTGTGGCATCAAGCTGTAATCAAAATAAAAAAATAAAAATAGGCGAACAATATCAGTCAAAAGATGACGCCATATATTACTGATAGTCTAACATAAGCAGTTGGATACTCCGTACATTGAAGATGAGGCAGTAACTCATCGAAGAAGACATTGCGAAATGGTCGCGCTATTTCGTGAATTGGCAGAAGTTAGAATTCATGGGCTGGCCATTGGATCGGGTCCCAGTGGCTCAATGGTCTACGAGCTCGCCTTGAGACCAAAAGGTCCTGGGTTCGAACCCCGGTGGGTGCGTACTGCTGAAGATTCCCAAACTAGGTTCTCCAGTGGTTCTCTAACTGATGTCAGCTCATGATGAAATCCTCCAACCGATCAAACAAAATCCCTACAAAACCAATACTCGAAGAAATATTTACTTTTCAATTAGATCCTCATCTCTGGCTCTACTCTAATATATAGAGCAGTTTTATTACAATACATAATAATTTATCAGTCAAGTGGCGATATGTTTGTTAACAATAATTAGTCAGTACCAACATGTCAATGGGGTGATAATTAACGAAGAAAATTAATACACACACAATTAAAAGGTAGAAATGCTTGCAACACGTGGAAAAATGAAGAGTAATTGAGGAATAAGCGTGTGCTCAAGTTGATTACGTAACAGATTATTAAGGAAAATAAAACGATTTGGACAATGATAACCTGTAACTTAAGATGAAGTAGTCATAAGAATAAAATAATTTGGACAATTATGATTTTTAAAGGTTTACGGGGAGGGGGGCGGCGAAGTGGTCCGGTTTATACATTCACCATCGCTATATGGATGTGCCAGATGCCATGCATTAAATTACTTCAAGACATTTGAAATGTTAGAATTCAACACCAGTGATGAACTGAAAACTAGGGAGTACGGAATAGTCGTTTCGTCCTTGTTTGGTGCTCTTCAGAAGTGCGCACTCTTGACTCAACCAGGGATCACCTTGTAACCTGAAGGCCTCGGATTCTGCTCCTAACAGTAGAGTCATGAGTGAGTACTGCTGAGGAGGCCAAAAGTAGGATGAAACAGTTGTTCAGTACTCTTTGCTGGTTTTCAATAGTTCTCTAAACGCTGATTAAGATTCAATCAACCCTAAATACAATTTCTATGAACTAGCTAGGAAACTGTGAGCCACACACATTGTATGTGTGTGTGACAGATGATGGTATTACCCATTTGCCCAAGGCTGGAGGAGATGGAGTGTATGATATTTAGAACCCTAGGAATCGAATGCTTAAGCCAGTCAGCCACAATCATTTGCGACAACCACCAAAAGACTTTTACAAAGTTGACAATATATATATATATACATATATATAATAGTTTATTCTCATTTTTTTACATGAGGGACGCCAGTTTACAGGCATCATCAATATGATAAATTACACATACGATTAGTAAACATATTTAATAATAGTAATTTAATAAAATACATTTTTTCCTACCTGTGTAGGACACACCAATTGTACAAGCATGGATAAGTATTATTTAAATTACATAAATTTGGTTCATGGTAATATATATATATATATATATTTAACATATCATTAAGCTACGACTCGTCACGTGCTGCGAATGCCTAACCATCGCCTCCCCCGACGGGCATTACTAGCTGATATAGGTAGGTGCAGGTTGGAAAAGAGTAAGTGGTGGCCAAACAAAAACATGGCCTCATCAATCCATGAAATCCTTAACAGTTAAACTGAGTCAGGTAGGGAGGCAGATGCAGACTTCCAGGTTGGGGCCCGCCCTCGGGACTCTAAGAATCAATGGCTGGAGACAATAGGTGACATGGCTCAAAATCGTTGTCAATGGCTTACGCAGATGTATTCAGTCTCTGTAATCTTCAGTCTCATATTCCTTTCTACCATTACTCACTCTGTTTCACTCTTATACTTGTCAAAACTCTATTGATTCTCTTCACTCATCTTCTTGTCTACCTTTGTGTGCTATTTGGAACGTGGCAATTCGAACTGCTGCACTTCGGTGCCAAGTTCTATGTTGAATCCAGCCAGTCAGCCAGCCATAAATTTAATATAAATAATATGTATATATACACCAATGAATGAACCATGGTTTAATATTTACATTCACATACGTAAAAACAAAAAAAACTTATCAATAAGAGTGATACAAACCAAGTCAAATATTATCAATAAAGATTAGTTAGTGTGAGTCACTTTACCAGGTGTAGACAAGCTGTTTTAGGCACGAAGGTAGACAGACTGTGGTTGAATTACACACTGACACTACACACTACTATCTGATAGCAACCATCGCACACAACCAGATTTTTTAGTCTAATGGCTCGAAATGGAACACGAAAACGATGATAAAGTTGGTACATATTAAGAGGTGACACGCACGCACGCATGCACGCACGCACACAATATATATATATATATAATATATATATATATATATATAATATACATCCATTCACAGACAGAATTCAATGTCATTTTTATCAGCCGACATTATTGTGATACAATTTACAATAGAATTAATCTAAACAATAAAACTGTATATATAAAAAATTGTTTATCAAAGTTTGAACAAATCAACACCAGTAGTCATGGTTCGAATAATAATTATAATAAATTATAAATTTTTTCAGCACGGATACAAAAGGTTCACGTCTGGCTTAGACGTCACACATATAAATACTAATCAAAGGACATGAATACTGAAAAGTAGCACTTCTCTCTCTCTGTGTGTCCTTCTCTATAGTCGTGAAACATGGTCATTTGAAAGTGATAGATATGAAAAGGTGTTTGGGTTCCCTGTCTCTCTCTCTCTCTCTCTCTTTCAATTGAGATGACCAGGAGACGTGTTACACATACCGAGTCACTGGCTTCCACTTTAGCAATGCTAGCTGACAACAAGCGATTAGGTTGGAAAAGAGTTAACGGTGGTCACAGTAAAACTTGGAAACAATCTATGAAGTCCTCGGCTGTCTGTTTGACCCAACCACACAGGGAGACGTAGGTTGCCTGGTCGTTTTTTTAGATACTAAGGACCAATGGCGAGACAGACTATTGGTGATATGGTTCGAAATCCTTCTTAATGGCCCAGATGCACTCATCACTAACTTTAGACGCTTAAATCTATCAAATTCTCATTATTTTCCAAGTACTTATGTGGTGAGAGCTGTCTACTAGCCAAATTGGTAGACAGTAATTTACGTCAATATTTACTTTCCCAAGATTTGTCGTGAGAAACAACCAATCGGAAGACTGTGTTTGTTTGTTTACACATCCATAGTAATGTACATGAAAACATATATAAATATGCGTTGATTTCCTTAATAAATGATCTGTTGCCTGACTCTTGCCTTCTGTCGTTACACTTATTCTCTCTCTATCTTGCATATTTCTGGTTAATTACAGTCCGTTTGTATTTTACGCTAACCTCTATGTGGTATACATGGAGTGTAGTAGCTAAAACTGATGGAGTACTCCGTGCAAATTCCTATGTTCAAAAGAAATCAATCACTGCTGTAAATTAGAGAGAGTAAATATCATATGTATATAGTTTTGTCTCCGTAAACACAAAAAAAGAATCTAATCCGTTCTCTCTCAACACGGGTTCGGAGAGTTTATTGCGATGACAGTGTTGATGATGAACTGAAACATTTGGAAGAAACTTTCATAGAGAACGGCTATCCACTATACTTTGTTGAGGCCAATAGTAAATTACGTGGAAGAAATGCATAGAGTAACAACGTAGCTGAAATGGTGTTGCACCAAAACTTCAAATTTAGGAGTGACACTGTAAGTAAAGTACTTAAAAATCGTCTGACAAGATCATTTAGAAAACCGTTCTCTGATGCCACTTTACAAATAACCTACTCTAGCCGTCCATTGGTGCACCTTAATGTTAAGGAGACGTTATCTCGATTATCTAATTCCATGTGTTCACCTGTTTTTGCAGAGCTAGATACACAGGACGTCTGTAGAGAAACATTATCCCGCCACCGCATTCGGGAGCATCTCCCAGCTTCGTTGAGCAAAGGAGAGAGTAGAGGTATTGATTCATCGATATTGCAACATATTGTAGATACTGACCACACAGTATCTGAAACATCCTTTAATATAGTCTACAAAGTTTGACGGAAAAGACACGAGTGCATTTGCTTTGTTGCGTAGCAGAGGCTTTGTCAGTACATAAGATGAAGCCGAAACTTTGTGTACAAAAACAATTTGTACAATCTCTTTCGTTACCATGGTCTTGATTTTACTGTGTTATTCACATAATTCACATAATCCATGTTCCATCTTTGGTTTTATTTTATTTCACTTTATGTTATCATATTCTAATATTTTATCTAGTCTACTTACTATGCTCTGACAACATTTCATTCATCTTATGTTGTCTCCATCATATTATATTCACATTATTCACATTTCCGAATGTACTTTATTTCCTGATCATCTATTTCAAACATGTTTATTGAACTTTAAGTTGACCTTTGTTTATTTAGTTATTCGATCGTATATCTAATCAATTGTGACCAACAATCATATGCACCAATATTATCGCACATTAGTATTTCCGCTCACTGTCACACTTTAACACACACACAAGAAAACTGATTGACATTGGCTACTGTAATTTATATAGTTTTTATATTATTATTGTTTTTTAGATTAATTCTATTGTGAATAGTATCAGCAATGTCAGCTAATAAAAGTGACACTGGATTTTTTAATTCCAATTTAGATAATCCCGTCGATTGATTGAACCGAAGTGCTGGGTATAAACTGAATTGAATAATTAATAAGACGCGTTGCACAAGAGGTGGCTCTCGTGGCCCAAGTGGTCTGGTGGATAGTGCTATGGTGTTTGGGACTATGGGCACTGGGTTCGAGCCTCGGTGGGAACACCATCACTCACTGAGGAATGCGGGTACATTCAGTTGACGAGTCCCGAATAGAATGAAGTGCGCATCCTGGATTACACCACTAGTTTACCGTCAACCACTTGACATTGGATTTTGTCTGAGTGTGTGCGAGTATGTGTCCCCTCTCAATATGTACCAACTTTCATATATATATATATATATATATATATATATGTACAGCCGCCTTCGCTCAATACAGAAGAACAAACGTCCAGAGAAAATCAGCAACAAGAAACTCTGGGAACAAAACAATCAAGAAACTACTGCTCAACAAATTTCGCAAAGAAAATGGAGACTGATTGGACACGTGGTTGAGGAGACCGTTCACTTAGTTAGTTATTACTCAATTACTCAGTACTGGGCTATGAGCCACACTTATTGTGTGAGGACTAATGATACTACCTATTTTCATAGGCTGAAGTAGGTGGGGCAGGACTCGAACCCACAACCTGTTGACTGCAAACCACATATCCACAGATAGTTGAGTTACTCTCACGAGTAAAGCCCTCGAATGGAAACAGAGTGGCAAACAACACAAGTTGGGCATGATTTTGAGGGTGACATTGAGGAGATCATGTGGAGGGGAAATAAAATCTTTTGGGTAAGTATACCACCAGCTAAAAAGAACTGCAGAGAACACGATGAAATAGCGATGAGCTTCTGTAGACCTATGCTCCAAGGGAATAATATGTGCGAAGTTCTGAATATAATTCATGCAAAGTATCTCTGCAAATTTAGTCGGCAACAACACTAAGAACTAGACGCACGACATTAGTTACAATGCTGATGACTAATCAATGTATCCTCTATAGTTCTACAGAAGGCCAAATGTGAGCCTGAATACCTCTCAGTGGTAACATTTCTGACTTCAGGAGAGAGAGACAGAGAGAGTGACACGGGATCGAATATCAGAGAGGCGGACATCAGTTCCATTTCAGGCTGTAGATACGCCTTTTTGATGAATACCAACAAGCAATAAATCTGATTCCAAGGACTTCTTTGCAGAACACTGCGAGTTCGAGTCACCCAGCTTGTTGACTACCACATTGCATAGAATCCAGTCAGTACCAATACTGAAGACTAAACAGATGACATTCGTGACTTTCTAGTTAGTGACTGATCCCACCTCCTAAACAGTGTACCCGTTAAGCCTCAACTACCTTCTTGAAAAGACAAAAACTAAACAACACAAGCACACACACATACACACACACAGGGAATTATTATTATGCCACACCTGAATCACTCACTTACTTACTTCACATAACGACGATATTTCATATAAATATTATCACGAAACAGATTACCAAAATCATGATGAATATACGCTTTTGACGACTGTAGAGTTGAGGCTATTCCAGCAATGGACATTGGCGTACGTTGTTGCAAGAGAGTATTCACACCGCCGGCACATTCAGAATATAAATTGTATATATTTATACCCTTTAAGGGCTCTTCGGTCAACAGAACGATCTGTAATAAAGATAATAATAATATACACAGAATAAATATAGTTTGAAACACTGAGACTCAGTAGTCAGTTTTCAACGTAGAATCTTCCACAAAAGTGAAGAAATTCTAAGTACCACACTTCATTAAATTATATATACGTACAGGTAAAAAATAAAAAAAATAGAAATCCGAAGAATTTACGATAAACGGAAATGTTCGACACCAAGGCCACCAATCCACATGTAGAATAATGGGGATTTAATGAATGCGAGAGAGAGATTACAAAAGGTGAATGAATCCGCAATATTGTGAACTATTTCAGCCTTCGCTCCATACTGAAGATCAAATGGCCGGACGGCCAGAAAGAATAAGCAACAAGAAACTATGGGAACAAACCAACCAAGAGCCAATCGCCGATGGATTGGGCATACATTGAGGAGGCCGTCGAATGACATCGCACGCCAGGCCATTGCTCGAGTGGAATCCAAATGGGAAGTGACGAGTGGTCGGACTTAGGGTGCCATGGGGGAGATCGTGTGAGGAAAAAATGCGAGAGTTTGGTCAGTCGTGGAGCTAACCAACTGAAGAGGACGGCAGAAAACAGAACAAAGTGGAGACGTGTTGTTGAAGCCAGCCCTATGTTCCACTCGGAACTCAAGGGAATAATAATAATATTTCAAGTTATGTCATCGCAACCAGTCTCAAGTCATTCATTCTTCTGTCTGTCTCTGTCTGGATTCAACATAGAACTTGGCACCGAAGTGCAACAGTTCGAGTTGCCACGTTCCAAATAGCACACAAACGTACACAAGAAGATGAGTAAAGAGAATCAATAGAGTTTTGACAAGTATAAGAGTGGAACAGAATGAGTAATGGTAGAAAGGAATATGAAAGATTACAGAGACTGAGTACATCTGTGTAAGTCATTGACAACGATTTTGAGCCATGTCATGTATTGTCTCCAACCATTGATTCTTAGAGTCTCGAGGGCGGGCCCCAACCCGGAAGTCTGCATCTCCCTACCTGACTCAGTTTAACTGTCAAGGATTTCATGGATTGATGAAGCCATGTTTTTGTTTGGCCACCACTTACTCTTTTCCAACTTGCACCTATCTATATGAGCTAGTAATGCCCGTCGGGGGAGGCGATGGTTAGGCATGCGCAGCACGTGACTTAGCCATCTCAATCTACGTAACTTTATAGCCTCGTCGATTGATTCATTCATTCTTAAGACCTCCAGGACCCCAGTCAAGCAGTTTATACCTCTCGAAGTGGTTGGCTACAAGCAACAGTCAAAGAATTCATGGATTAGTGATATATTTCACCATACAGTACGATTAAAAATTAAAAATTTTTCTCTTTGCATCAAGGAAACCACAGTTCAAAGTCAAACATACTACTCTACACAATAAATAAAAGCAATTTTCATGCAAGTAATTGCTAAATATTTGTTGGTTCACAGAGATTTAATTGACTCCAAGTTAAATCATGAGCTGATTTCAGTTAGAGAATCAATGAAAATCAAACGACTGTTTCGTCCTAGTTTGGGATTCATCAGCACTACGTGCACACCCATGACCACACACATCCAAGGGGTTGATCCCATGCCCTTCAGATTACGAAGTGAGTTCACTGAGCATTCAACCACTAAGACACAATTCATTAGCCCATGTATTCTAACTAAGGACAATTCATCACTTACAGCGGTGTGTAAACGCCAACCACCAGTGTCACATCCGACTTGGTGAACGCGATTAATCACAACTTCTCACTAGAACTCCAAGTATCTTGTAGTTAGTCAATCACTAGTAAGCATCCCACCACTAGGGAACATCTTCAGCGCATACTTCAATTTGAAGTGAGCTTTTCAGATTTCTCCACGAGTTTACTAATCATCTCTCCTGGTGGGTGACCTTGAACGCCGTGATTGGTTGTTTTTGTGTTTCCACACGTTCTAGGCTACTTGTATTTGTTAATGATTGTTTCTTTGACTTGAACTTTGACCCTTTGTGTGTAAGGTTTCTTTCTTATCAGTTGATAAATTTTGTCTATCTCGATGTGTCTATTGATTGATGATTCACTAGAATGCCAAGCTTCTAAGAATTCTCTAGTATTCTTGTTGTTTCCCCTGTCTAATATTTGAACGTTGGTTGTCCCAGTCGAATTGATGTCCGTCGTTGTCTGTATGTGGTGATATGAGGGAGTGGATGTCATCATGTCTTTTGACGGCTAGCTTATGTTCGTGGATACGAAGACGAATGGGGACGTTCACTTTGGCCAATGTAGTGTTTTTCGCAGTCGTTACAATTTATTTTATAGATGATGTTGGTTTTATCTTCTTTCGTTGTTGAGTGTTTTGGTTGACATAGAGCCAGTTGAGTGAAGTGATTTTGTCGGTTTGAGTGCGACGTCAGTTTCTAAAGGTTTGAGGAGTCTTTCAGTGATTTCTGAGATTTCCTTTATATATGGTAAGGCCATTTTCTTTGTGCTTTCCTCGGGTGCTTTCGGTTTGATAGGTTGGCTTCGGGGTATATGTCTTTTGATGAAATTCCGTGGACATCCATTCTTCCGGAAGACGTCCATGAGATATCTTCCTACAATTTTCCTTAAGGGAGGAGTGCTGCAATGAGTCCTGGCTGGTCCTCTTGAATACTGTTTGTATGCAATTCCTTCTGTGTGTTATTGGATTGTTGCTGTTGTAATTCAGTGTGAGTTGATTTTCTATAAACTTGAGTTTCTAGTTTCCCCTGTGGTTGTTCGCTTGAACAAGCTACAGGTTGAAGCCCTATGCTCCACTGGGAAAGCAAAAGAATAAAAAAAGTAGAAACCTATTTCACTTGAATTCAGAAATCTTCAAATCCAGTGATAGCAAAGGAACAACAGTATCTGTTTGAAATTTAATTATTTCAAGGCTTAATCTGGAATGCGAATGAATTGCTGAATATTAGGTGTCAAAATGGCATGAAACAACTCTCTAATGCTTTTTGATGTTTTAGTAGTTGCCACCTGTGATCCATACCCTGGAATACCACTCAGAAGCCTAACAAGTGATTATTCTTGCACGATTACATATTGCAGACAAAGTTAAGAATTAGTGACTCAGGCTGACAAACACACCAATGAATTTCAGGCTTCCCAACTAGGCTGATTTACATGGATAAAAGTACATTCGTAGGAGTTGGTTTGTAAGGATTAAATTTGTTTCTCGAATTCGCCCACTGATTGATATCAGCTAGAGAACCATTGAAAACCAGCACTACAGTACTGGACAGCTGTTTCATCCGAGTTTGGGAATCATCGGCAGTACGCACCCACCACAGTGGGGTTCGAACCCAGGACCTTCTGGTTATAAGACAAGGCAAGCTGGCACGTATATCATTCAGCCATTGGGAGGCGATTCAATGGCCCATGAATTCTAACTTCTACCAATTCGTGATTTTAGTGTGACTACCAACCAATGTCATCCTCACTCCTGACTGGATGGACCCCAGTTTTACTATTTTTTACTACATTACACAACTGTTTATTCGTAAAAGGAGATGAATTGTTGCTGAAAATTCCATTCTATACGAAAAACTTTTGCTTGGAATAGAGTGAATATATATATGCATATATTTAAAGCAATTAGTCCCTTTTATAAATTTGGATGGAGTTACTAGAAGACGGAGATTATCTGAAAAATATTTTGATGTATTTGCGCTATACATTTCGAACAATCTGATCACACATTTACTTATCAAGTCGATATTATGCAGCCCAGCTTGTAATTGTCGAAAAAGCTAAAAATATGCTCCACTGCAAACCTCAAAAGTGCACAAGTGATTATGTCACATCCCACACTATTTACCAATTTTCGTGTGTGTGTGTGTGGTCACACATACATAGGGAGGAGTAATCGCGCTTTGCATATGAGGGTGGGAGAGCATATCCCAAAATGGTTAGAAAAACAAATGAATTGTGAAAAACCAATAGATGCAGGTGTCAGACTACCAACCTCGTCTATAGCTAAACATCTAATCGGGATTGATGTTAACTCAACCTTTAAGGTCGTCTATAAAGACGGTCAAGGGCGCTTATTGAAATACGCCGAGGCTATAGCTATTCATAAACTTAAGCCCCCCCCCCCCAACTGTGTATGGAAAAACAGTTTATTATTACTCTTAATCTACCTTGGAAATCCTTATTTGATTGGATTACTAAACGTTGTGTTAATCATTCTTAAATCCTTTCCTTTCTCACTTTGTTTAATTTAATTGCCTTTAATTTCTTTTCACATATATCGACTTGAAAAGTAAATGTGTGATCAGATTATTCGAAATGTATAGCGCAAATGCATCACATTTTTCAGATAATCTCCGTCTTCTAATAACGGTATCCATATATATATATATATATATATATATATATATATATACAATATTAATGATTTTTTCAGGAGTATTATTCAAGATGCCAGAAACATTTAGAGAAGAATAAACCGAAACAAGCAGAAGACTTTCTCCAGTGTGAGCCAGTCAAAGATGAAGGCGCTGAGTTCGAGCCCAAGCAGTGGGTGCGTACTGCCGATGATTCCTTCCCAAACTAGGATGAAACAGCTGTCCAGTACTCCAGTGCTGGTTTTCAATAGTTCTCTCACTGATATAAATACTTGGTCAAACTCGAAAAGGTATTTTCATTAAAAATACCTGTTAAAGCAATGTAAAAGGTGTTAAACACGACACTTTTCTTTGATATATTGAAAGAATAACCCTCCCCCCAGTTCTGCATAGATGTAGAGATACTCATTCAAATGACTGTCCTTTACAGTTACGATGTAGATCCTATCTTGATATAGTGTTAGGTTAATATTTATTATTTTTATTATTCCCTTGGGTTCCAAGCGGAACATTCGGCTAGAAAGGCACATCTCCATTTCACTCTGCCCTCCGAAATCCTTTTTGTCAGGCTCCACGGTTGCCCATAAACAGCTCTCATTCCCTCTTCACACGATCTTATCCACACCGAACTCGTCATTACTTATTTGCATTCCACTTGAAGGTTTGGCATGTGATTTCACTCGGCGGTCTCTCTCATTGTCTATCCAATCCCTATTCATTTTCTTTGGCATATTCTCTGGTTGATAGATTTTTGGATAATTCGTTCCAAGAGTTCCTCAGTGCTTGCTTGCTTCCTTATCCTTTATGACCATCTAATCTTCCGGATGCAGCGAAGAGAGCAGCTGTTGAGGAGAAACAAAGTTTGCAGCAATCTGTTGGAAACGCTTTCGGTGACGTGGTGTCATTATTAATAAGCACAGCTCAAATGGTAACACCTTTGCACAAACTCTGATAGGTCGCCTGATGGTCGATCACTGGTGAACACATCCGCTTGGGTCATTTTATTTGCTTCAACTTTAATATCACACTTCAAGATTAAAATTTTTTTTCTTCAAATAACTTACAAGTAGTTGACATTCTTCAGATTTGTTGTCAGTGAATACACACGACGTTGAGCATTGATCACTACAACATTTAGCAAGCAGGTCTTTCCATGAACTAATAAAGTGGATAAAAATAAACAGAAGAGGAATAAAATTTTTATCAATTTAATAATTTGGAAAATTTCTTGACAAAATGAAAGTGGATAACATCATACATATCGATTGGTATAACTAAGGTATCACCAATGGCGACGTCTGAGTGATTACTGAAGTTTGCAATATGTAGTCACACCAAGCTAGGCGGACTTGTCATAACGGTGCATTCAGAACTGATGTTAACTGGTTATAGACAATTGGTAGGTCGCTTTGCCTGACCAAGGTATTGCGCTTGTTAGCATCCGTGTCAGTAAAGCATATCCGCAACCTCGAAAGAATTGGTGCTCCCCTTGAGATTCGAACCTGCGTTGTAAGCTATGGCGAGTTATCTGGCTCAATGATTCTACATTGCCGCCAGCTTGACTGTGACAGAACTCAATCTGCAACAATAACAACAACAACAAGGACTAGAAACATCACAAATGACATTGGTTACTGAGTAGTGTGACCAATCAATAGATCCATTACACCCCAACGAGAGGTCTATCATGAGTCTAAACAGCTCACTGGTAACTTCTCTGACTACAGCAATGAGTGACACGAATTCATATCACAAGTCAGGAGGAAGCAGAATCAGTCCCTTCGATGTCACAGATGCGCCTTGCTGATGAGTGCTAAAAATATCGAGTTAAGAAAGCAATATTTCTGTGAAACCAATCAATTCATAAACTATATGACACATTTATGAAATACCCCACGGATCATACTTGTATCATGTAACACCTTATCATCAATTCAAGTAGTAAGCTTAAACAGGTTAGAACTCGTAAGTCACTCTCTTCAAGGCCCATTACCCTGAAACTACATTGACATAAAGGAAACTAGATTGGAAGAACAGTGATCGTGATCACTAACTCAGTGTTTAGAAATGGTAGAAAAGATCGCTAGCTCGAACTGATGATATAATTGTGTAGTTACGTTCTCTCAGCGGCGGACGTTTCATTTACCAAGCTTTCAATGTCTCCTTATAGACAACATCTTTAGAACAGACTTCAGGATGAAGTTAGCTTCCTTTTGTATTCTCCATGTTCCCACAGTCGGGCGACCACGCTACTCTTTGTGTTCCCTCACAACTGCCATCACTGGGCATCATCATGTAATTAATTCAGGCGTCCGATGCCGTGTTTCTTTATCATGATGGTCGTCTTTTAATAAATGATTTCATCTTCAGACTTGTTCTATGAATGTTAACCCAACGGCTTTCAAATTATTCACTGTTTCCTAGCTCTGGGACTGGGCGCGAAAAATTCGGAATGGTCATCAGTTCATGATTTAGCGCCACAGGATGAAGGATAGTCGAGACAAATTAGCATTTATCGCTGCATCAAAACTCCCTGAGTGCGCTTGGGAATCAGTCTTTCGAAACGTCATCAGATACACTTAACCAACTTAAGAAACCAGATCAAAATGCTTCTCAACGGAATATGGTATAAGATACTCAAAGAAGTTAGTCTTCGATACATATGGGCAGAAAGCATCAACGGTTAGCAGAGTTTAGTGACTTGGTTCGCCAATCCAAGAAAGAAATTCATGAATTCACTCAAGACTCAAGATATACCACCTTTCACTGATGATATGAGACAACAGGCGACATCGAGAAACGCCTGGTTAACGAACTTCTTTAAACTAAACTAATAGAAACGACTAGCATAAGATATATCTTGAATCCTCATATTTTATACTGTTATCATTATTATTATTGCCTCTTACCTTTCACCGATAAGACCATGATATTTGATAAAATACAAAAGGGAGTTATCATTCAATTTGTAACTTGTCAACCCGTTACCGACTGCAATACCCTGAAACAATGGAAAGGGAAAAAGAAAGCATAGAGAGAAGCAAGCGTCAACGACTTCACATAATGACAGAACATTGACTGACCAATTGTATTTCCAAAGTAGAACTTTGCCTAGAAGTGCAATATTACAAGTTTCCACAGACACTATAATGAGCAGAGATGTATGGTAGAAATGACAATTACATGAAATAACATCAGGTGTTAAAGGGTCTGAAAGATTACCAAGAGTGAATACATCTCTACTACTGAAAATAATCTTCTCATAGTCTCGAGAATCATCGAAACCTGACAGTGTACACTTTCATACATGGCTAGAACAAACAGTCAGAGATTTTATGGACTGATATCAGGTCTCCAACCTCTCTTAACTCTTTTCCAACCTGATTTTATGTCAGATAACATTGCTCGACAAAGAAAACGATGGCTTGGTATGTACAGTACAAGCACTAACCATCTCCATCAATACAGCTTCACAATCTCATCGATTAACTTACCCTCCTTAACACGGGAGATACAAAGTAAACATTTGTGGTCAATGATAGGTAATCTCTTCAAGTTGTCTACTTTCAACGGCCATATTTTACACCTACAAAGGACGCAGAGAACTGATGTGTCGAATACAACGTCTATGGTAGATGATACAATATTAACATTCTCTGAAGTAATCCAATCGATTGGTGCTATTAGGATAAGACGTTATATTTAACTTGATAGGGGGGCAACTTGGTACACAATTTTGTACAGTGAGTTACACTTGATGTTTGATATCCAGCTTATGTGAACAGTTCCCAGTTTTCAAGATCTAATGAAGTTCGGTGTGCGGAGTTTGAATTCAATATGCAGTACATGGCAGCTAAATTCCTTAAACCAGTTATTATTCACATTTTTACCTCTATACTGTCATGTTTTGAAGCAGTTCTACACAAGGAGAGAATCAATAGTCCTCGTATACAATAAGCAGTTTGCATCATAGCCCATGACACATAAAACATTTCTCCCAGCCAACTGGATTCAAACAACCATATTCCACAGTGGATGAAGCAATGGTTATAAAATCCAAGTCATCAAAATTCAACACGTTTTAAAAGACATACAGCTAGAGATATCGACAGTAGAATAAATCTCGTCTCACTTGTCTGGCAAATGTGAATACTCTCGGACCTTTGATACTTCAGCCTGTTGGTGGACCGTCCACGATTAAACACTGAAAAGTATTTTCGTTTTAGTGTGCACAGTTAGTTGAAAGTTTTGTAATGTGGATAAGAAGAATAAAAATACAAACTTCATGAAAGATTGATTGGTAGTCATAAAGTTGACGTTTTTAGTGGGTATATTTTCAGTCATTGTAGGTGATACACTCTGAATCGCAATAGTGTATGTAATACACACATGATTCGTTAATCTATCTATCTACTGAGAAATGATAATTTGAAAGAACGTTGTTACTACTGACACTATGAAGTGTTGCCCGTCTCGCCTTCTCCACCGTCGACGCTGAAGTTATTGGTGGGGCGATATCCAAACTTCTTCGACTGAAAGTGTAGTGCTTAGGTTGATGGACTGAAAATGCAGCTTATTTCCTTAGGAAAGAGTGACGAATCAAGCGTATTACACTATTGCAATTCGGAGTGGGTAACTTACAATTACCGAGAATTTATTCAGTAAATCTCCAACTTTATGAGTACTAATCCTTCAGGAAATATATCTCTTATTCTTCTTATTCACATTACATTACGTCTAACTAATCTTGAACGCAAAAGCGAATACACTTTTGAGGGTTTAATCGCAGACGGTCCACTATCAGGATGAAATATCAAAGGTTCGAGAATATTAACCTTCGCCACACAAGTGAGACAAAATTCATGCTACCGTCAGTGCTTGTAGCCAAATATCTTTTAGATAACAATGTGTTGATTCTGATAACTTAAATTTTATACTTCATTTTATTTTATTTTTTTTATTTTGATTACAGCTTGATGCCACACCGTATTTTCAGTACAAGTATGGAATTTTCAGCATGGTAGCCCCAATTTACAGGTCGACCATAAATATCGGGTGTGCGTCGGTAGGGGATCGAACCCCGGACCATGTGCATGGTCGGCGAGAGTCCTAACCACTGTGCCACCGACGCACACACTGTTGTATCCACTGTGAAAGATGGTTGTTTGAATTCAGTTGGCTGGGAGGGATGTGTTAGGTTCCACGGGCTATGAGCCATACACTACCTATTGTGTGTGAGGATTCATGACACCTACTATCCACTTATTTCGAGAACAGCTTAAGTAGGTGGAGTGAGATTTGAACCTGAGGACTCACTGGCTAAAAGCCAGGCAATCAAGTCAATGGAGCACATATCCCTACTCAAATACGTCTACATAATAACAATAGAAATATTAATAAGAATAATACAAATTAAAGACGTATATTTCTTTTTGATTACAAATCGTTAGCTCAATACATTAATATTTCCCTATAGTGTGTACATATCTCCAAGAATACAAAGAAGTAGCTACCTATCTCTGGGGGAGGTAATTAGTTATTTCAGTCCAGAATACAGGCAGAAATAATACTCACGACAAAACTGAACCGCACCAGGGAATTTCTATAAAATTCACAAATTACACAGTTCACAGTGAAATTTTCTCCCCAGTTTCCTTTGGAAACCAAAACCATGAAGATCGAAAAATATTCCATCTGTGTGGTAGAATAAATGCGAATCGAGAAAGATGCAAGCACAAATGCACCACGACACGCACTACTCATTGATGTGAAATAAGTAGTTTGATAACATTCACATCCGAAGGAGACTGTGCTAAAATTTCACCGCGAACTGTGCAATCTGCAAGTTCCACATTCGTTTCAATGTGTTACTAGTTCGACAAAGTAGTTAGCTAGAGTTTGACTGGCGAAAACTGAACCGGCTCTCTGAAATGAGTGAAACAGGGTACACCAATGACGAGTGTGGCCCCAAATGAGCCAAGTGGCTGTCCGGTCTTCAGATCATTTCGATCTTGTTCGTTAACAAGCATTACTGGTTGAGTGAGTGAGTGACATCTAACTACTCATATGAACCAATCGGTAGTACATAACTTCGTGTAAAAGGGATTTAAAAGTTAAAAGAAAGCCAAAACTCTGAAGAAATAACAAAAACTTACCGCAAGTTTAAATCTCGGTGAGTCTTTAAGCAGTAATGCCAGTGTAGGCACATAAACACCACCATAACTCTCACCAGTGATATACAGTTTACGACCTTCGTATTCTGGAAACTTGTCTAAGAAGTGAAGCAGTGCATGGTGATTATTTAATGCCGTCTATTACGAGTGGAGAAAAAATACAAAGAGGAAAGGAAAGACGAAAAATGAATGTAATTTTAAATAATGAAAAACAATCCACGTGACAAATCAAAAACTGCTCGAACGTCTTGGCCTCTACCAGATAAGTCTTGTTTGCTGCCTTCACTCCTTAATGGTGTCCCTCATGAAAGTGAAAAGGGCGTATACAAACGTTTGGTTCCTACAGTTAGACTGGTGGAAATGCAGATCAGTCTTAGGAAACTGGAAACCCCTGATTCCAAACCTATGGTGTACATAGGTCCCAGAATCCGAAAGGATTGAATGGCCTATGAACCTGTCTTGTCCACCGGAAGCCACGAGGACGCAGCCCCCAACTCGTCTTGTGGATTAAACTTCATTTGAAAGCTCAGTGGGGGTGGCACCCTAAGACGACCACATGCTTAGATCTAGACACTCATGGCAGTATCCCAGGCGTCGTAAGAATTATGAGTCCATTTTGTGTGGCGCATCCCCTGGTGCCCACAATGTACCAAGAGAACTCGACTACATGCACGTAGAGGTATAGGCTGCAGTGCCCAGGGTGATACTTCCAAGTACAACATTGATAAAGTTCGCGTTCTGTATTATTGAAATTCTGGGAACATGAGTTATGCAGTCAGATCAGTCAATTATGTTTAGCAGTTGTCTAAATATATAATTTACAAGAACAGTTAGGTTAGTTAACTGACCACTTTCGAATAAACACTAATAATACACAATGTCAGTGGGACAGTAGTCCTTGAAAACTTACTCACCTGATCATCATCAGTGGTAACATTACCATCAAGAGAATAAGAGAATCCTACACCAGCTGGAGACTCCAAGTAAAGCACATTACCGAGCTGAAAAACAATAAATTGTGAAGCAGATATTTTGAAATAAGATGGTGAAGGAGAAGATCCTGCATTTCTCCAAAATGGAGAATCACAAAAATATCGACACCGTTCAAAATATATATAGAATGCATTGAGTAGAAAGTGATATAACGTTTCAACATTAAAATTACGAGAATTAATAGAGGAATGACTCATCTACTTTAGATAAAAATGTACTCGTTTAATTATTTTAAAGACAAACATCACACAATAAGAGCACTCAGCGATGCATTACGTAAGAGAAAAATAACAAAGAGAATGCAAATGAGTACCTGCGCTTGTCACGAATATTTAAAACAGCATCCATCACTTCATTATTTAACGACAGTTGTTTGTGTCCCACCTACAGTGTCAAGTGGTATAATAAGGCAAGTATTATTGAGGTTAAGTGTCGAGTTTTAGTTAGGTGGGGAGGATAAGCCAAAAGAAGAAGTTGTGAAGCTGCATCGATTGAAATCGCTAGGACGCGTGCTGCATATTCAAAGCCACTGCCACACCCCCCCCTCTTCGTCAGTCAATGTTATTCGACATTGGATTAGGTTAGAAAAGAGTTACGAGTGATCAAACCGAAAATTGACACTAGTCCATGAAGTCTTTGACAATCGGTTTGAGCTGCCTGATGAGGTATAGACTACCTGGTTGAGCTACGTGCAACGGTTAGAACCAGTGGCTTGAGACTGTCGATGAAATGGATCAAGACCATTCTCAGATGTGTTTGCTGTTTTATAAATCTCCCATATCCAATAAGTCCTCATAGTTTTCCATGTTACTATTCTTCCTTTAGCACATTTCTGCTCATCAAAGTTCATTTGAAATTCTTTTTTCTTTATCAACCTTTTCGCTTTGCAGCTTGAACTTCTGAAAGTCTTTTGAAGCTCAATGAGCCACAACCATAGATATATGCAAGCCATACGATCGTAAATCTTGAACCATCTCTGGGATTAAATCTTACGGTCTGTAAAAATTGTTTTGGAGTGAAATGCATTATCATTCAGAAGTATCAAAATGGCAATCTTAGATACCTTAATAGTTAGCTTTTAACAGTCAGCATTATTTCTAATGAAAATAAGCAGTTAGTTCGTTAGTGATATCACATAAATTTTTCACTATTGGGTAGATTGAAACCTGCCTGTTTTAAGCTGTTTGTTAGGGCCTAGTTTCCTTGAAGTGCGACTTGTCTGTGCATATATTGAACAATTAGAAATGGGTTTATTGATAAACTGACCAAGTTGGAGCCTGCTGTAATTTCGTTTCAGTTTGAGCTTCCACCAATAAAGTATACTCGTAAATTTTCATTTTCAAAGTACTTTTCCGCCCAGTGTGTAACATATTACGTTAAGTATACACATCTGGGGTTGATTGCTTTTAATAATCCTCAGAATTTTATGTTGAACTATTGTGTAACAGTGAGGAGTATTGTCATCACAATACAAGTGGCAGCACCACTACACAGTCATGAAATGGTGCTGTGGGCCATTGGTTTAGACTTCCGACCAAGCCGAGTCCCACCGACCATGTATGTGTGTGCGGAGAGCCCACCTTTTTCGGAATAAGAATGAAGTATTTCATCAAAACTTAGCTGACCTAAAGATGCATTCGAAAACGCAGTGTCCACATATTCAGAAACCGGTAATATTCTTTTAAGACCATCTTACTTATATCACACATTTGCTATTAACATAAATGTTTCGTATGAAAAAGTGCATAATTAAGACTACTGATAGTTCCTCATGAATATCACTGATATCCTGGCCAACATCTACAAGACCAGGAGTGCAACCGTAAGGTCAAGTCAACTACATCACAAAATGAAATACACGTAACCCAATGATGCATAAGTTGTTAAAACTCAGTACTGAATAAATGAATCAAAAGTCACAAAGAAAATAATATTTAGCTTACTTTATTCCAAGAGTATGGATTATTATTTAGAAGAGTAGGTCCCTTTGTAAGCTGAAATTAAAAAGCCAAGGAAAAAAATCAATTGTAATTAGGGTAAAATCTAGCCGTTACGACCAATAATACTAATAAGAAAATTTACCCAAGAAGTTGTCATTTAACCCATTTCACACTTTAGTAGATCTAAAACAGCATAATAAGCCAAACGCTAGAAGATTCTGAGGTTGGAGACATTGGACACTATAGAACATTAATGTTTTAATAATGTAAGCAATTTTCCACTTACATTTAGAGTTAATGATATGCACTTTCACCAAACAAGAAAATCTAGCTACTACTACTTAACATGACATAATTAGCAGCTATTATAAGAATTCTAACTTTTTTAAGGGATAAGTTGATTCTCACTGCCTACCGGACCTTCTTTTATTGACAACCTCCAAATGTGGTAGACTACTTTATGATAGTTGCAGTCAGTAGACAAGTGGACAAAGTAAATGAAACACGTAGCGAAATTAATAATTACAACAGCAATAGATTGGTATCAAAGGATAACACACTGTTGCTAGTTTTCACTACACAGCTCCCCTTTAATAACAATGAATGATCAGTAGAATAGCCGGGTTAAACAGTTTACATCTAATGACTATTCAATGTAGTACAAAAATAAACTAAAGTTTACGAGGAGACGGCCGGCCGTTTATCCAGTTAACTAAAACACATGGTAAAACATCATATGAACTCTGCTTAGGCCATACGTATTCATTACATATGTAGCACAGTTATGGTCAAAAGCATTCCCTATTGACTAATTATACCAATATAACTTACCATGTATGGACCATTTTCAGAAAGTAGGCCTTCTAATGATGAGCACCCAGGGCCACCGTTCAACCATAATATTAGGGGCGCAGACTCTGGTTTCGTCGCAGCTTCAACAAGCCAATAATGAATTTTGATTTTGTCAGTAACACCATTAAGGTATCCTGAATATTGTGTGAAATTTTGTGGTAGATCAAGTCCAGGTAAATATAAGATCTTGTCCGCATCTCCTGGTTTTCCTCCCTTGACCACGTGTATCCAACTACTACTGAAAGTAAGGAGACACGCTAAAACGATCGGATTCATAACACAAAACACAGAAATTGACAGTACATTCAAATTGTGCGCGACTTTGCAGTAACTCCTATTTCCAATATCCAATATCGTTTTTACGAGCTTGTATAAACCAATTTGATTTCTTTGTGCTCGCCCCTTGATTGTGAGGTATAGGTTACTGATCTTCGGTAAACTTCTGCGTAGCTCGTCCCGCCACTCGACTATCGTAGCTTTGGTTGACTCCTAAAGGAGTAGTGCTGTGATTAATTATGTGTGGTTTGTAGTATGAGGTGCATTAAGACTGTTATTACTTTGAATGGAGTTGATATTTTCACCAGTTAGTCCTCCGGCATCGTCGTCAAAAGAAAAGAGATAACAATAATAGACATAATTAGTGAATTTATTCAGACTAACAGACAGAAAAAAAATTAAGAAAACGTAACAACAGTCGGCTGATTAAATTTGAAGAATAATATGAATAATATATATCGGTAATAATGATGATAATAATAATACTAGGTGTAGTTAATTTTGTCACGAGGGAAAGACGGGAGAGAATGTAAAGAAGTAAAACGAGGAACTTAGTTGTCTACCCCCGAATGGTGTATGGGATTTTAAGGGGCTAAGCCATTTGGACGCAGTCCTTGTGTCGCTGCATGATTGTCCAGCCTTCGCTTAAAGGCGTCCACAGACGGTGCCATAGCTACATCTGCCGGTAAGTAATTCCAGGGACGACAAACGCGCAGTGAAAAGAAGTGGGATTGCACCCGACTCCTTGCCCTCTGGTGAGCTATCCTTCTAGGATTTCCACGAGTAAGCCTACAACTACTCAATGGCAGAAAACATTTGTTCGGGTGATTCTGGTCATTTGTTATCTTGTAGGCAGTAATTAAATCCCCCCTCAGGCGACGGTAACTGAATGTGAATAGGCCTAATTTCTTCAGCCTTCGTCATATGGTTTATTTCGGAGACCAACCACTCCTTTTGTTGCCCGTCGTTGGACTCTTTCCAAGAGGTTGGCGTCCCTTCTAAGCAGTGGGGTGCAATAATATTATGCACTTCAAGGTTCGGTCTGACATATGTTTTGTACAACCCCAGAAAGAGCTCAGGAGTGAGTCCACCTAACTGTCTATGTGTAAAGTGTATGACCGCATATGCCCGCTACATCCCCCGTGTAATTCACGTTTGTGTCTATTTTTCCGTTAGAACTAGACCTAAGTCACGTTCCGACGTTGAGCAGGGTGTAACTTGCATTCTGCAGTCTACAGGTGCGTAACTTCATTACTTTACACTTTTTCAGGTTGAAAGTCATGCCACTGGCCACCACCCAGTCTTCCAGAAGGTTTAGATCTTCCTGTAGCCTATCTGAGTCCTCCGGGCACTTTGTCGCCCTTCATATCTTCACGTCGTCAGCGTATAGAAGAGTCGGTCAGCTTAGACGGCATGGTAGATCATTGATAAAACTCAAAAACACCAGTGGTCCTAGGGTAGAACCCTGCGACACTCCTGATGACAAGCTGTGCCAAGATGATCGGACTCGATTGACCTTGGTGCAAAATTGCCTTTCAGCTAGGTAATCCTTTAACCATGACAGAAGTGGCTTACCTATACCAGCCTGACTTACTTTGTGTAGGAGAATGTCATGGTGAACTGTGTCGAATGTCTTCTCAAAGTCTAGGAAGACCACATGGACTGGAGCATCCATATCCCAGCATGATGTCCAATCGTCCCAAGCTTATAGTAGGTTTGTTACACAGGATCTGCCTTTCCTGAAACCATGTTGGGCTTCATCGAGGACTTATCGAGATATTCCCTGATGTGATCTTCAATAATACTTTCCAGTATTTTGATACCACTGGGAGTAGAGCTACTGGTCTATAACTGGTGCCATTTTGCCTATACCCACCCTTGAAGATCGGAGAAAGGATGGCTCTTTTCCACTCCCTTGGCAGTTTCCCCAAATCCATTGAGTGTTGGAACAAGTCGCATAAGGGCCTACAGAGAGCTTCGATGCACTGTTTTAGAACAGATGGCCTGATGTCGTCACAACCTGGGGACTTCCCAGGTGTGAGTCGCTGTAGCTTACTTAATACTATTGCCGGGTTTATTTGAGGAGTAGCCACTAGGTCTTCCTGCTGTGAAATAGTAGTGCCACCATTTTGGTCCATAACGGCGATACCCACATTGCTGTTTAGCTGTTTGGCGAAGGCTAAACTGAATGTTTCCGCCATTTCCAGATTAGTGAGATATTGACCGTTTGGGCCGAGTGAGGCGCATGCCCCCTGGTTGGTTGGTTTTCTTTCCGACATAAATCAATACAAGTTGTTGGGGTTTGCTAGGAGTTTTTAGGAATGTTAGCCTGGAATGACATTCTGTCCCTCCTGACTCTTGCATTGCACCGGTTCCTGAGTTCCAGGTATGCGTCGTGGTCGATCTGACTCTTAGATACGCGCCACGTAAACCAAGCCTTCCGCTTTGCTTGCAGAATACGCTGCGTGCCTCTCTTTAACCATGATGACTTTCTCTTGGGCTGTGTTGTGACTTAAGGGACGGTATCCGAGATTACTGTATGAATAATCTTTTTTACCACCTCCCAGTGTGCATCTACAGATAGTTCATCCCATGCTAAGGGCCAGTCTGCGTCGGACAAAAGCCTCCGCATTTCAGCATAGCCAGCCTTGCTATAACACAGACATGGTCGCGTAATGTTCCACTGCAAATGCTCACAGAGAACGAGATTGAAACTTATGACTGCATGGTCACTACTTCCTAGAGGAGTCATGATCTGGACCTTTTCGACGAGTAGTTGGTCACTAGTTAGAATGTAGTCTAGTTTTGATGGCTTTTCACTAAGGCCCCACCTAGTGTCGTCTCCAACATTCTCAGTCAGTCCCTTATTTCGAATAGTTTGCAGTAGATGTCGGCCGAATTTTCCCTTAGCATACCACGAGCCAAGGTTCAGTGTTGAAGCATTCAAAACTCCAGCTATGGTGATTTGGTCATAGCCCAAGTACTGTATCCCTCTGATAGTGCTGAGCAGTAGCTGGCTGTGCTCTCCCCCACAGGTGGGTGATTGGTAGATGCCACTCAGTAAATGCTTGGTGTGGCCTACAGTGAAATGACACCATATGGAGTCTGGGAGTTCAAACAGTGGTGGGTCAGTTGCGCACACACATTAAAGTTGCCTGTCAAAGTATATAGCAGCTCTCCCTCCTTCATTATTATCCCTGTCTCTCCTGACCAGAACCATATCACTTATACTGATTCCGTTATCGGCGATAGTGGGGGTTAGCCATGTTTCAGTGAGAATGATTATTTTACGTTGTAGGTGTGACTGGAGATTTCTGAGTTCGCCTACTCTTCTTCTGAAACCCCTCACATTGCTATATAGGCAGCTGACAGTGAGTCTTACCAACTCAGTGTGTTGTGGGTTAAATTACGTGAAGCTGTCTGCTGGTAGGGGGCCTAATGTTGGGACTAGTTGGCCAGTTCCGATAAAACCGGCCCGTTGTAGTTTTATTCCATGTATTCAGGTAGGACGCTTGGGTGACACAGACTGTTATTCTCAGTACTGCATCGCTCTAGTGTCACTGAAGCTTGAGGACGTATAAAAGCCTCAGTTTGCTGCATCCTTATGGTTCGGGGTCTGCTTTCGCAGCATCGGATGTGTCCTCCCATTTTCCCCTTGGTCTCATACCACCGTTGAAATGCTATGGCCAACTGCTCCGGAGAGTTGAATGTGACACTTAGCAGCTTTGGAGAGCTAATCAGAGTGAGATGAGCGGGGCGAGATTGTCGGGAAATGGAGATGGCTCCAGAAGCGACAAGGGCCATCTGAGATGACAGCCATCTCTATTGCTGTACGTCATGCATGTTTTTCACAAGCAGTGCCCGTCACCAGCTCCGGAACACCGTGTGCCACCATAGAGGTAGAAGGCATCAGTTTTGGTGACTCCCTCGTCATCTGTCTGATAGCCCATGATCTGTCTTGTCTCACCCTTATGGTCCAACTTCTGGCTAGTACCTGAGCCGTTAACAGTACTCTTTCGACCTCTTCCGCAGAGTCCAGTGTAACCCTTAATGGGGGTGGCTTACCCTGAGCCGTGTGGACACCCCTGTACAGCCTGCACACTTTCGGTGAACTAGTGTCCAGACCTAATTTATTGCACAGGTTGGACCACTGTTCCTGGTTAAACAGTGCTGTTGTTCAAGTAAGCTACCCTTGCTAATAGGTACATTAAAAAGGATAAGAGAATTAGATAGACTAACCTCCGACTTAGGTTTGGCCTTTGGCTGCTTGTATTCCTTTGCAGCATCAGTAACTTTAGGCTTCATCAGCTTTTGGCCAGCCTTTACTGTGCTGCAAAGCTTGCTAGTGGATGCGAGTGGTGCTTTTGCAATTCTATCTTTTCCTGATGTTGTGGGTTTAGCCTCGGGACTCTTCACCTTGCGAAGGTTGGCATTTCCAGTCAGTTGGACTGGAGTATCCTTCTTACTGTCTGTACCAAGTTTTGGCAGTGTGGCGTTAGCAGGTGGGGAGCTGCATAAGACTGTGTTGGGACACAAGAGTGGCGTGTTGTTTCTGCTAACCGCAGACACTCTGTGTGGGACTGTGCCAGGGCGACAAAGTGGACAGATATACCAAAATCATGGGCATGGGTTATTTCGCATAAACCCGTAGTATGATTTCAGCACCCCTTTGTCACAACGGCAATGTACCTATCGTTTGCGAAAATTGCATACAAAAGCTGAGTCAGTTTTACAAACGATGACACTACACGCCTGACATTCGTTTCCCTTCCTTAACGACGCTTTCAATGTCTTATAACGTCTTGAGCGTTTCCTTTTTGTTTCGCTGTGTTCCGTGCAATGGCTTTCAGTGAATGCAGGTGTAGTGTCCTGCCCACCTGGCATTGCCTGTGCCGTTTCAGTGCTAGACTATGGCAATGCAGGCGTAGTATCAGAACAGACGAGACCTACACTAGTCTTTAGGACCGGTATGCGGGAAAGGGTTGAT